ATATATACACACACACACACACACACACACACATTTAAATACAAGACAAAATGAGTCATGAGTCTTAGTTGTAGACATAATAGTAGGATAGTGTATTAATAGAGAATATGTAGCCTATATTATTATTACAGATATTCAATAAAAAATAAAAAGACAAAGAAAAAAAAAGAAAGATAAATAAAATAATTGACCAGAACAGTGCAGACGGGTGGGGCAGGTTTATGCACAATGTCGACATTACATAATCTGTCAAGACAAACTTCATGTCATCCTGTACTGGAGGAGTGAGACTGTGCTCTCAACAACTCCTTAAGAGGAGATTAATGGGAAAAAAACCCTAAAATAATGACTCACAACACTTATATACTTCTTGATAACGAGCCAATTGGCGTCCACAACAACTGATATCTAATCATTTCTATAGATCAGTAATCTTTTGCAATAATTCTCATTGCAACAATAGTTTACATTTCATATGACGTTAAAGAAGGAGATTCACAATAGTGTCAGAGATAGTCTGCACTGCTAAGAAGTGTTTATTAGCTCCCACAGTAAGATTATACACCAATACTGGACCCATAATCTCATACTCTGAATCATTATCTCGAAGGCCTATTTTTGGGTTCATGAATGATTCAGAGTTTGACTGTTCTCCTCGCCTCGTGTTCAGTCCTGTGTGATACAGTCGTTATGTAAAGTGTACTTAAGCTATGTTTATTAAAAGAAGAATGTGCAGTCAACAATATATGGGCAGTGGATTTGATAGGACTTTTAAAGTGTACTTTTCACCGACAGACCTTGAACATCTGGTTTGTATAATCAATTGCAGATGTGACGCTGTACTTGGGCTCTATCTAGTGGTTGAAATCTGTAACGCGAAATTATTCAAAAACTCACCTTTACATTTGGAGGCCGTAAAAATGCACTGAATATGTATCTACGACCTTATTGTTAAGGCGATGCTCTATCTATAAAATAAATAAATAAATAGCCTATATAAATAAATTGTAAAAAAAAAAAAAAAATTCTAGATCAAAAAGCATTATAAAACATACTCGAGATGCTTCAACTTTCAACTTTATTTTTCAGAAAAATGAAGCCAAAAATGTTAAAATAAAAAGCAAACATTCTAAAAAATTTCTACACAACAATTTCACAGAAATTACCTTGTAATGCAGATCCCTGTATTAGGCGTAATTATTAGTGTCCCGTCTTGTTTTAAATAGGCAGTCTGAAGATACATCGAACCAGGAGGAGGAGAAAGAAACATCTCAGTTTATCCCTGTTGAAAAAACTTACGTCTAGTCTAAAGCCCAGACTGAAACAGCAGTCTGAAAGGTTTGCATCTGTGAAACTAGCCAATAAAGACGAAAATCAATCGGAAACAAGGAAACGAAGCAGCTCAGACATACAGACAAATACAAAGACAAATCATTTTAATTTCATAGCTCAGCAGGCTGTTCTTGGTCCAGTCGTGTCCAGAAGTTCAGCAGGACTTTAGAAAGGAAAAGCCACACGAGGCGCCACATATCAGATCATTTCTACAGTTCAAGTGTAAGAAGGCGTCACATCTGAACAGGAAGTGACATTTACAGCTATATAAAAGCAGACGTCTAAGTACCAGCACACATCTAAACCTTTAGACAACCATTTCAGCATTAATATCTTAAGTGCAAACCATATTTATGTGACCCAAAGTGCCTGAGCTGCTAGTTTGGAGTAAAATTGAAACCATTTCCCTTTCCTTTAACTCTTCAATGATCACTCAAGTTTCGCTTACCAAAAGAACTCCTGACTTAACAGAGAGAGATACATACAAATACACGCTCAGTGAATAAGAGTCTCTGCGTCTCCTTCGAGTGTTGAGTTTGGACAGCAGCTTGGCAGCGTCACGGGTCCTCCTGTATGAGACGGACCTCACGAAAGGGTCCCAGAGACACAATCGATTGGTCCTTTAAGGTCCCGCTCTTGTGCCGAGTTAGTTTGAAGTCTCTCAGTGAGGTTCAGTTTTATCCTTTAGGAGCTTTACTGGACTGTGAGTTCCACATGCCTCTTTTAGAGTGATAGTAGTGAAAGAAGTTCCTCAGTCTTAAACGCTCAACCTCCAGACCGTTTTGTAGAACTCTGAAAAAGAGAGATAGAGAGATTAATTTAACTCAATAATGTAATACATTTCCTTTTCATAAATTGCTTCCCCCCCATTTTTTAATCATTTATAATTCAATTAATACTTAATTTCAATTGAGTATGATTAATAATAATAATAATACATTATTATTATTATTATTACTAACAAAAACAATCAACAGTCAAAATCTCTCTTAATTCAATAATATAATTTAACTAATATTATTTTTTACGAACATGAATTATTATTATTATTAATGATAATAACAGCAAAAATAATGTCAAAAACATTGTCAATTCAATATTAACATTTTATATAGATATTAACATTTTTATTTAACATTTATTTATTAATAATAATAAAAATCACTGTCAAAATCTCTTTTAATTCAATATCATAATTTTAATATGAATAAAAATCATATTTTTAATATATAGGAATAATATATAATAATGTCACTGTCAAAATCACTCTCAATTCAGTATAATTTAAATAATATTAATACAATTATTATTTATTTAACATTATTTTTATTATTATTATAATTATTAAAAACAACAACAATAATATTGTCACTGTCAAAATCTCTCAATTCAATATCATAATTGCTTTAGCAATAAATAAAATAATACATATTTAATATGATTGATGATAATGAAGATTATCATAATTCTAATAATAATATGAATACAATTATATTTATTTAACATATATTAATAATAATAATAATAATAATAATAATAATACTAACAATAACATCACAGTCAGTCTCTAAATCATATTAAATAATGCATAAATTATTTTAACATTATTATATAATTATTATAATAATTCCTAATAATAACAATAATAACATGATATTTAACATATCATTATTATGATAATTATCATTAATAATAATAATAAAAAACATCACTGTTAAAGTCTCTAAATTATCATAAATAATTGATATAATACTATTATCATAATAATTCTTAATAATAATAATAATAATAATGCTGATTATTATTATTATTATTAATAACAACAAAATAATATTTCAATATCATAATTTTAATAACAATATTAATAATAACATATTTAACATATTATTATGATAATTATTATTAATTATAATACTAACAAAAACATCACAGTCAAAGTCTCTAAATTATCATAAATAACTAAGGTATTATCATTATCATAATAATTCCTAATAATAATAATATCATAAATTGTATTGCAAAAATGAATGAATACTTTAAAATAAACTTGTTCACTGTAAAGTGCTTCTACCTGTCTAGTAGTTCCCAGTCTTCTCCTCCCCATCGTTCCTTAAACTCCTCTGTGTTCATCCCACCAATCTTGTCAAAATCTGATTTGTAGATCCCAAACAGGCCGAAGCCGTTCACCTCCCAGTAACCTGCAGACACAGAGCCGTGTGGGGTTCATAAAGGCCAGTGTGACCGCGGCTGTGTTTCAGCATGTGTGTCAGATGTGTCATACCATCAGGCTCCTGCGGTGAGCTGCCGCAGCCCAGTCTCATGACTATCGGAGCGAAGGCCAGTTTACCCTCCACACAGTGCTTCCTGATGTTCTCCAGGATGTTCAGAGGGAAATTAATGTGCAGGTCACACAGAAACACGATACTGTGACTTTCCTGCAAACACACATGAGCAAAACTCAGCCCACACTGCTGCAGTACAAAGTTAAATGACTGATTAAACCCATCCTGCTCGTCATCTTTGTTTTCGAAGTTACAGCTATGAATCACCAGCCACATTTATACACTCATTAACACGAGGAGGATTCCTAGAAACGCTTCAAACCTCATCTGACGTGTCTCTGCAAACAGCGATTCACTGATAATCACAGTCGCGTTGAGGTTACAGGTTTAATCGCTGTATGGGAAACTGTGACATAATGCTGCGTCATGTGTGAGTTAACAAAACAAACATTTACGTGTTTGTAAGGCTCATTATTTTCATTTTATGAAAGATGCATCTTTTACCAATTGATTGTAAATTCATGTAAAAAAAAAACTGAATCTTGGTAGTTAGGCAACTAAATATACATTTCTTTATACATTATTTCCTAAACATTTAGTCTTGATAATATTGATAATGTCTTTATATTAAAAATGTATTTCACACTTTACCCAAAGCATTTTACATCAGCACATACGATTTCTGGGAATCGAACCCATGACCTCTGCATTCCTAGAAGCAACAGTTGAGCAACAGGAACGATTTACAGTATGTGTCATTATGCACGTTACCATATAAATGAAACATTACTGAAGTCGTCTGAAAATATACAATGTGTCATTTTGGAATTATAATAAATCCGATTTGCAATCCAATAATCTTAAAGGTATGAGTGTATGATTACCTCTATGGTGTCCACACCGATCTGTAACCCGGCAGACCGCTCAAAGTTTCCTTCCCTCCTCAGATACTCATATCTGTGACCAAAAAAGTCCAGAAATATATATATATATATAAATACAATAGTAACATGCTTCTATGTTTATATGCTACATACATTAATGGCCATCTGAATATATATATATATATATATATATACTAAATGTATATTTATTATTTGCATATTTAAGAATGTATATTAAAATATATATTTAGTCTCTCAATAAAATAGTTTTAGAAAGAGTTTAGCATGTCAAAGAGCAAGACACATCAACTACCCACATATGCATGTTTCTATATAACAAATATTTAGAATGCTGCGTTCAAGTCCTCCTGGGAGTCGTAATTAGACGTCAGGTGCGTTCAAGTCAGTTTAGTCGGCACAAGATGGCGGTGTACCTTCTTTTAATAAATTACAAGAAAATACAACAGGGTCTGCATTTTTTCACTTGGATTTCAGCTGCGTAACAAGAACATGACCAATTTAAGTTTATAGGACAACTAAACTATCAATTCAAACAAAAATTTACCGTCAACTACAGACGTTGCATCTATCGATTCCGCCATGTTTCTCATTGACACGCCCCCAACTCGGAAACTTGGGGCTTAAAGAAAATGTTGAGTTTCCCACTCGTATAAAATTTACCGTCAACTACAGACGTTGCATCTATCGATTCCGCCATGTTCCTCTTCAGGAACTCGAGCTGCGTCGAGAACACTAGGGGAGTGTGTTAGTGTACCGTGGAACGGAGCTTTCTCTGAGAGCCTGTTCCACGTCCATGTCTTCACTCTGGAAGTCCACGATGATGATGTTGAAGTTGTTGTCCTTGGTCTCACGGTGCAGGAACTCCATGTCTGAAATGAACTGCTGAACCCAACGAGCCTGATTCTTAACTATAGGAAACAAATCAACAAATACATAATAATAACCATAATACATAATATTCATACATCAGCCATATCAAAGATCCAAACAAAGATTTGCTCTTTATGTGCATCACACAAAAAATTACTTCAGTATCAGTATTTATATGACATAGCTGTTATTGTTTTTAACACTTCAGACAAGGCAAAAAATATATGATTATGCTGTTCTCTAAATTTAATTTATTTTAAATATTTAACGTATACTCACAAGGAGTTGAGAGCTTAATTTTTTAGTTTATATACATACATTACATCTGTGGACTTTTTCCCCCAGTTGTCCCAGTTGGCCTATTAAGTCAAAATGTATTTTGTTTTTACTGAATTGTGTTAAAGCAATGAGAAACTTGTGTAAAATGAAGAGTTTGGTTCCAAAACGCTATAAATCCATTTTGATTCATTTGAGTAAAAATGTGTTTTCTTTACCAAGAAAGTGGCAAGATGAAAACCACTATTTTCTGTTTCAAACTTTCACATAGCATCTTTAGGTTATAATACCATTAAAAATTCAAATCCAGATTTTGATTTTCAAAGATTTATTATAAAATTGTATGATTTTTTCCCCAAAATGCAATAAATCTATGACACTTTTATTTTTCTTCAAAATGCAATAAATCCTTTGAATCAATATAAAAGTTATTTTTCATATTGAAACTTTTGAAGATACACAACATAGTAAGTTGAGCCACATATGACAGCCTCTGAACTTGGTCAATACTAATCTTATATGCAGGCACTGGACTAAAAATACATTCAATCAGTCATCGCTCCCAAAATGAATTCAACAGTTCTTCTTGTTAATGCTATAAATTAATTACAACAATAAAAGAAAATTTCATCATGAACAGGCTACATGAACAACATCACATTAAACCACAGAAATTCCAAAATGACATTTCCCTTACATTCAACTTCCAAAAGTGCATTCATCTTTGCCATTTTACTATTAATCACAGAACCGGCTTTACTGACGAGATGCGCATGACAATCACATGCGATTTACCGTGCAGCCCTAAGTTTGTTCGTTGATCACAAAGCTAGGAGACCGGGTGCATTCAAAGTGCCGCCATTACTGTCTAGAGTGCGTGTAATGGTGCGCTGTGATTGGTTGAGTGGATATATCACATTCTGCAGAGAAGAGAGACTGGCGTTTGTTGAGGTTTGGAAAGAAAGGGAGAAAACATGACAGAATAACGGATGTCACATTTTGCGTAAAATTAAAAATGGACTTTTCAATACCGACCAGCTACAATACTGATTTTGGCGGAAACTCGATTTTTTTTTTAAATGGCGTTTTGGAACCAAACTCTTCAAATATTGTTTATGTGATGCTTTTTATCAGCTGTTTGGACTCTCATTGACGGCACCCATTCACTGCAGAGGATCCACTGGTGAGCAAGTGATGTAATGATACATTTCTACAAATCTGATGAAGAAACAAACTCATCTACATCTTGGATGGCCTGAGTGTGCATACATTTTCAGCAAAATTTTCATTTTGGGGTGAACTGTTCCTTTAATACAGTTCTATTAAACCAACCATCTTCGAGTGAGTGTTATGTAAACCAGCTGCCTGTAGTCTGAGTTTCTGCTAAACAAATCCAAACTGTAGATGTATTGTTCTACTAAGGCTAGTTAAGACAGATTCTACGTACAAGAATGGAATTTCAGATCAGGCAATCAAAAGTACATATCTGCCAATCAAAAGTAACCCACCATGCAAAAACTTTCGAATTCATTGCAACATAAAAATACATTGAAAAATGAAAAACAAGCATGAAAAACAAACCAGGTCCCCACCTTGATTTGAATTTCAAAATATAGTGGCCCCACGAGGTATTTAGACACTTAAGAATTTATGAACGTCAGTGCATTACATAAAAAAAAAACTCAAACAAGGTGGCATTTAAAGAAATCATATCAAGCAAAAAAATTAAAAACAAATTGAGATATATTTAGTTAGCAGAGTTTATATCCAAACCTAATCAAGCACACCTGAACAAGCTAAGTAAATTCTTCAGGATTACTAGAAAGTTACAAGCAGGTGAGTTTGAACAAGTTTGGAGCTAAACTCTGCAGGAATATGGACCTTGAGGGTCAGAGTTGAGAATCCCCGAGTTGTGGTCATAAAAGATTAAGACTCACTCATCTGGGTACATAGTTTCACAAAAATAAATAGATATTTAGCTATTATTACCTGGTACCACAAAATGCACCATGACGTCCTTTTTCCACTGCAGCATAACTGGATGGCACAGCAGGGGTTTGGCATACACTGTGCTCCACTGTGGGGTGCCGTGGGCCCCATGGGTAGGTGTGCGGGAGGGTGTAGCAGGTGGGCTGGCGAAAGGGGAAGAGTGGGATGATGCTGTGACCCCTTCCATATTCTCCAGACTGTCTTCCACTCGGCCACGGTGCAACAGCAAGTAGATGTACTCAGATAGACGGACCACTTTACGGCCTCTCTCCATTAGCTCCAGCTCTATTAGGTAGCGGTTACCGCGTGCAGAGTCACGCCGCTTTTCTACGTTTATGATGCGGAGGAGAGTGTAAATCCTGAGAAAGGAAGATCATTTTTTTTGGAAAAAAAAAGATTAAATGGTGGAGTGAGTGGTTTATGCGATTACTTGAAATATGCACCACTGGTGCAATTTTAAATGTGTATGAATGGTAAGGTGCCCATTTTCAAGAGCATTACAGTATTGCTAAATAGCTGTACAGTTAAGAGAGGAAAAATAAACTGAAAACAAATATTTTACAAATGTTTTGCAAATGAAATTATTTGAAATTTTTTTCAGCAATTATTTTCAGCAGAACAACAACAAAAAAGAATACATTCATTGTGTACAAACCGGACACCGATATATTTCCGATATACTGCAAGTGAAATGTGTATGAGAGTAATTACAATAATTTTCTGTATTGACAAATAGATATTCAGCAAAGAAAAATAACTTTAACAATAAATGAAAAAAAAAGAATTTAAATACACACTGTAACTACTAATATTTTAGTAATATTTTCCAATTAAATGTGTAAAATATATAAAATGTAAGCTGTCCATTTTCCAGTAATTATTGTAATCCTCTTTATCACTAACTAGACAGACAAGGAAGAGAAACTGTAAAGGAATGTAACAATGAATAAAGAAATGTCAAAACACATAAACTGTGAGAAAACTGATATTTACCGATATATTGTGAATTAAATGTGTATGAATTAAATGTGTAAGTTTCTGTATCGCCAAATGGCTGTAGAGTCACACAGCAGAAAACATTTAAAAAAAAAAAAATCATCAAAGATATACATATAAAAATATAATGTGTGAATACTTATATTATACCGATATATCAGAAACTAAAATATTGGTTTCTGTTTCAGCCTCACCCTCCATTGCGTTCATTGAGTTTCTCCATGTACTGCGCAAGTACGTCCACCACTTCGCTCTCAGATAGCTGCAGGTTTCCAGACACGTTGCACCGAAGATCATTCCAGTCAGAGCGCAATGTCTCAAAGTCCATGCTATTGACGGAAAACGTCCTCTGCCAATTAATGGCCTCCTCTGCCCACCCGGGGCGAGGCTCCACATCCTCATAGCTATACTCTGATAGGCCTCCATTCTCCTCTGGTTCTGGGTCAGTGTCCGGCTGCTGCTGTTGGGACTCGGTTATCTTAGAGGTGTGCAAGTAGGAAGTGACACGGAGAGGCTCGGTCGGAAGCACGTTCTCAGAGGAGTTAGTGGATGGAGGGGTGGGAGCAGGAGGTGGTCGAGCGGTTGTGATGGGCCTCAAGGGATGCTGGTGTTTTTCCCAGACCCCTCGTATCCTCCTCTCAAAGCGGCTTGGGATTGCTCTGTTTGGGGGCATGGGATTTTCAGCTGGCTTGCTGAAGTTTGGGCTCGCTGGAAAGACCTTGTTCTCTTGCAGAGGAGACCGCACAATTAACTGGGATGCACGCAGAGCTCCTTTACTGAGCTTTGGTTTGGCACTGAGGTTTACCAGCTTTGTGGTTTTGCTGTTCTGGTACAGGAAAACACCAGGAAAGACCTCTCTGTGTTGGCGTGAAACGGGACTTTGCTTTTCCTTAGCAGGGCGAGGTCTTGTGACGTAGATTTTGTTGTTCTCCTTCTTGCGTTCCTTGTTGGTGTGGCTGTTTCCAGGATTGTGGCTGTTGTCATGAGCATGTTTGTTACCTGGGGAAGGAACGGTGTGGGCAGGACTGCTGAGGGTTTGCTTGGCTTGACTGTTAAGGGCCACCAATGAGGATTTTGGTGGGAATAGCAAAGTTGATCTGCTTATTTTAGGTGCACGATCTTCTGACCAACCGTTTCTGAAGTCCCGGCGGTCTCTTTGAACCCAAGTGAGAGAACGACCTCGCACCACACTCTCACTTTTTGGTAACCCTACCTTAGCCTGATGGTCCAGAGTGTCTTGGTCCATCTCTTGAGGTTGAGACCCAACCACCTGCCTTGCTCTTGTGAAAAAGCGCCTTTGCTCTCTCCTAGAAGTTGGGTTGTCCGGTTCTACCTCTTTTATCTCCAGCATTGTGGGATCAGATTTTTCAGAGGGGCTTGATGTATGATTTGATTGGCTAGGTTGGGCAGTTTTCTTTGCTGACTGGGTGCCAACAACTTGTGCTTCATCCTTTGGATCCACCCCCTCTTCTTCTTCAAGAAAATCTAAAGAAAAACACCAAAAACAGACACTTTGAGTGTTCCTCCACCAGTTGAGGTTAACCTCACAAAGAGACATTATATAAGACCTTGAAAAGTACTTCCCGGCAATATGCAACTTTTAGGCCTATTCATACCAAGACTTTAAAACTGTAGTATGAAACTTCTACAAGTGGCACCTACTGGAATTGCAATATGTTTGAGAGACCCTGCAATAGGCATTGTGAAATTGGACAGTTATACCATACCTGCAAACTTGTCGCCTTTTCGCAAAACAAAACTTTCAGACACTGAAATAGGCCATTCACATGATTTTTAGAAATCAGAGGAGTTTATATGGGTATACGAATGTATATCTAAGAACTGACAGTCTTCGGAAAAGTTTTGATGGCATTTTCTTTTCATCTTAAAACTCTGTGTTATGTCTAATAAAGTAGTGTTTATAAGTGCAATGCTGCTTTGTATACTTTGTAACTATGGTAAAAGCTGTATTTCTGCTTTCCACAAGTGCCACCTACTGGCAGAGAGTGAATTTGCATTTTCATTCAGCCGGTCTTCCGTTCTTGTTCAGACTTGTTGTTTTTGTCAAAACTTGCACTATTTGAACTGTAAAGTTGTTTCAATTATTTTATACAGTAATTTTACAGTTCAGGATGTTACCAAAAACATCGGAGTTGCTACCTAAACAACATGTAGTTCTATTTTGATATCAGAATTTTCTGAAAAGATTTCAAATGATGATTCCAGTAAATGTATTTATTTTCAGTTTGTCTTGATATGAAAACACCTTTCGGCAGCAATTTTCATTTCGTTGCCTTAACCATTTGAAAATAAGCACAACTCCAGCAATTCATTTCTTTTCTGGCTCCAACCCAAGGCCATTATCTTCTGATGAATATATCTGCCACGTTCTAATAAAGCAGCTTGTGATGGAACGATGCACTAATGAAGTGTTATTCTTCTTCTGGATCACTGATCACACAGCTGAAAACTCACCATCAGGATTAGGGAAGAAAAATGGCCTGTCATCTTCCTCCTCATCCATCTTCATGTATTTATAGAAGCCAAACCTGTTAGAGAGAGAGATGGAGAGAGAAAGATCAAGTTCATGAAAGAGACATATAGAGTTTTAGAGAAATGTATTTATTCATCTCTGTTTCAGTGGTCATAAGCGATTCAGAGTAACCATTTAAATTCAAAATTAGATAGATAGATAGATAGATAGATATTTAATGTCATTACAATCTATACACAAGCTTACTTCTCCAAATAGATGGGTGACTCTCTATAGAAACACTTGTTTTCTCTTTCCATGTGGGTGAGGCGGGTGAAGTCATTGGGATATACAAAAGAAAGATAGACCTGCAGACAAAACACCAGACATGACAACCCCGATAATTAACTTGAAATGTCACTAGCTCACTACAGATCAGTAGAATAGGTCTGTGAATACTAGATAAAAGTGTATTGTGTAGCATATACTGTACTGTATGCTGCCTACAATTCTTTTGAAAAATAACACGTGAAAGTATGCAACAATATACATTTCAATATTTCTTACTTTTTTAATTAGGCAAGTGGTAGAGTTTTCTTCTCAGGAAACAAAAACTGTAATTTTGGAATTTTAATTAACTTTGTGTATAATGTCTTTACCTTTGGTATTCAAATTACATTAAAAATCTATACTGTTCCAGGTTCACTTACTGCAAATGGAAGGTTTTTGTTTTTGCGCTTTTGATTGGCTTTTATGGTATGCCTGCAATTACTTTTGTCAGCCAAAAGGGGGCAGTAATTGCACAGGAGGTTTCGGTTCATTACAGCAGCAAGTCAATACGGCAACAGGTGCAAGTGCATTGTTACTCAAAAGGCATTTTCTGTAGTACTATTTGTCAAAATGTGTGCATAAATATGTGTTTGTTAAACTCACAAACTGTAGGCCTTGATAGCGAGCGATAGGGAAGTCTTTGACCACATATGTTGGCGAGTAGAGACAGGCGGGCAACACATTTTCAAGATGAGTGGGGTCAATCATGGGAACTATAGAGAGTATTGTGAGAAAGACCAGATTTACCAAAGGCACATTATCAAATTTTCCTTTCATACAATATTTGTCATTCAGGAACACAAATAGGCTACAAAACACAAAAAGAAGAAAAACTATTTCAGTGGACTCAATAGCAACAGAGAGACAGAGGAATCAAATAAAAGGGGACTGGAAAGCGGACCTGAACAGACAGGTAGAGGCTTACTGTTGAAGAAGGTGTCACGGGGGTCTGGTTGCAGCATATCAGCGCCGTGTTGGCTGCGGGTGTGGGTCTCTGCTGGGACGGGGCCATGGCTGGCCAGTGTCTGAGGAATGTGATCCACATGGTTCATCTTCAAACTGCTCTCATCTTTCACAAAGAAAGAAAAGAGAATGATTAATGGAGATGAGAAGCCACTGCTTATGAATGGGCCTTACACAGTAAGATTTTTAAAGGCAACATGAAGCAGAATTTACAACAATTAATTTGAAGTAAACCAATGGGACCAAGTTATATCTAGAAATCAGAATATAATAAAGAATCAGAGGTGGGCTTTTTGACTTGGGCTAGTATACAGTTACCTAGAACACCTTGGCAACTGTTTAGCAACTCCCAGCAAACCCTATCAACTTCCAAACAATGCTTTAGCAACCACCCAAAACACCTTATAAACCCCCCATAACGCCCCAGCAACACCATAAAACACCCGGAACACACTGGTAAGTGCCTCGTAACACCTTTATGCCTCGCTATGCACCAGGAACACCTTAGCAACCATCTAACAGTACCCCAACTTCTTAGCCACCCCCAGAAATCCACACCAAGTGGCTAACAATGCCCTAGAAACCACCCAGAACACCCACCCAACAGCAATTGCATTACAACAACCTAAAAACCACTGATAAAATCCTTGCAACTGACCCTATGATCAGCAAACCCCCCCCCCCCCCACCCCCCCCCCCCCCCACACACACACTCTCTCTCTCTCCCACACACACACACACACACACACACACTCTCTCTCACACACACACA